TTCTTCTAACTTCCTTCTTTAACTACAAGAGCCATGAATCACTTTAAGCTTGCAAAATCACACCCACAAGCACACACTCAAGATTTAGGGTTTAGGAAAGGTTGGAGGCTGATAAAGGTGGCTAGAAATGAGGCCATCATGTTCCTTAAATAGGGACATTAGAATTATTAGGGTTTGCAAACTGAGCCCCCAGCGTACCAAGGGGTACGCCCAATGTACTAGGTGGCCTCCACGATCCTGCTTAGTGCATGAGTACGTTGCGTGTACTCATGCGTACGCTCCGCGTACTGACTCGCCACCTTTGGCAATTTAAGGACTAATTTTGACATATTTAAGAAAGGTTAAGGAAAGATAATTTATACCTCATTTCGGGATGTTACAGAATATGTGAATATTATTCTTCATTATTAAAGTCTTGACTGGTTTTGTGTAGACTTGACTGAAATCTGTTATTAGCCTCCATTGTTGTTGTTCACTCAAGGTTTAAGTGATTAAACATTGTCCAGAAATATCCTCGTGATATCTCTTGTCCTACATAAACACCGTTTTTGCCAAAGCGCGATTAAACATTGTTGTTGTTCACTCAAGGGCCCAACAATCCGCCCTTTTGGCATATTTCCTTGTCTTTTTGTTTGTTTTTTAACTTGTTCCTTTTTTTTTGACTCCGTCACAGAAGGAGGGACAAAGCGCGATCGACTGAATTTCGGTTTAGCTAGGTGGATTAGGATTACAGATAAATGAATTTTCAATTTCGGGTCGGTTATTTAGAACCGAATAAACTATTATTTGGGTAACCCATATCGAAAAGTTTGAGAGTCGAATAAGCCTAGTATAGGTACCTGAAACCCAAACCGAATTGCTTATTCGGGCGTAACTCGGTTTAGTTTTCGGTTCGATTCAAGTTTTCGGTCCAAATATTCATCCTTATTTTTTACATATGAAAATAACAAAAGAAATTAATTCTTACAGATGATTTCTATGATAGATTTTAGGATTTTATAGAAGTAAGATTTTTCTTTTGTTATTTTCTATGGTAAGCTACAATATTAAACTTTTTTTTTTGCTTTGTAAGTGATTTTTTTAAGACTTCTAACACAAAAAACTTCAAAAATAATGTTTTTTTAAAATTTTCGTAGGTAAACTTTGATTTTTATAGATAATACCTGGATTTTTATAGAGGGCTTCTGATTTTTTTTTTGTTCAAATTTAGTTTTGAGACTACTTTTTCACAAATGTCATTTGCTGAAATTTTGAAACGATGTTGTTTTAGAGATTTTTTAGTAGACGAAGATTTTTGCAAATGACATCTGCAAAAAATTATAACTTATTTTTGTCGTGTAACTAATTTTTGCTTATATCTAAAAAAAATGGATAATAAAATTAGTATAACTTGTATTTTTCTCTTACAAATTCCTATTAGCAAATTATAATATGATTGCTTAAGTTCTGTTAATGCTATTTTATGAAATAATTATTTCATCAGTATGCATTAATCATATTATAAAATAACAAAAATATATCAATCAAAAGATAAAGAATCAATTAGGGAAAGAGAAGTCGGCAGGCACTTCCGAATTGAGGATATAAAAATGGTATAGTTAATGATCACGGGTTGAACTAGACCCACATAATTAGTGTATTTATCTAATTATTTATTGATTTTAAATAAACCGAAATTAACGACTGACGTGTCGGCCCATGCCTGTGCGTGGCACGTGCAAAAAGCTTATGTGGACCAATAAGGTGTAAGTAACAGATCGTCTGTCTCCCCCTCTCTCGTCCACGAATTGCAAGATACCCAACAAACTCTCTCTCCTCTCGCGCCCTCCTTTTGATCTCCATACCACGTGTCATGCGTTCGTTACCCCTAACTTTTCCCATAATTTTTTTTTTTTAATTTTTTTTATTCAAAACTCACAAAGACTCTCTCTCTCCCTCTCTCTCACACACACACACTCACCCACACTTTCTCTCTGTAGCTATCTACGAGATTTGTCTTTGTGTATACGCATCATTCAGAAATTAGGGTTTTCTCGCTGTAAGTGTTGAGTTTTGCGGCGGTATTTGGTGGAGATTGCGGATGTTTTTTTGAATTTGGCTTTTCCTGCAAGTCTTTCAGGTAGATCTTACTTGAACTGGTGATTTATCATCGTTAATTGATGTTTATTTGTTTTTTTTATCTTTATGAGTAATGATTTTGTGTTGTTTGAAATCTTCTTTTGATTCTATGTGTTGTTTGGTTGCTGAGAAGAAAACCTGTGTGAAGTTTTTCGAGGTTTATGTCTGATTTGATTGGTGATTGGCAGTTATTTCTGTGGATTGGGACTTTGAAATTACGTTCTTAGTTGTCAAGCTACTTTTAGGATATCTTTTTAATAACTTACGGCTTAATTTCCAGTAAAAAGAAGTAGAAAAATGATGATTTCAGTGGAGTTGACAAATTATCTGTTTTGTTTCATTTTGATACAAAGATTAGTCTTATCCATTGTTCTTTAATAATCTACAGAGCATAGGATGATAGCCTTGTAGAGTTCTAATTCATTTTTCTTGAAAGTATGATTGTATTAATGTAAAACAATATTGATCTTGTAATCGAGGTCTAATATTTCCTTTTTTGTTGATTTGTTTAATTGGGATAAAGGGAGGCCTTCTTTTCTATATAATCATCTTCAGCTAATTATGAAGTTGGAGATTGACTTTGCCTGCATAATCTGTGCTGGATAGAAGATTTAAAGGAATGTCAGACTTGTCTATGTATGAGGTAGGTTCTTCAGTTTCATCAATCTCTTTGTGTTGATATAATTGTAAGGGTATCAGCAATCAAATTTCTTGAAGTTAGTTGTCATTAGTATTCCATTTCTCATTGATCAACTGTAAGATGTTATATATTTCATGGAAAGCCACATCTTATTCTTATTCTGTTAGTCATATATCGGTATGAAAGAACTTACAATATTACCATTAGTAAGGAGCTCGTTAATGTGAAAAAAATCACATAAGCTTCTAGAATATGTCAAGCATACAACTAAGAACACTTTGATTCATTGACATGATTAAGTTTGAAAGCATATTGTTGTTTTAAGATTTTCTATTTGGTGTTGCACTTGCAGCTGGAAGATATTATTTGGGATGACTTTGATCAAGGTGATGATCATATAGTACCAGACCCTACTAATGCTCGAACTAGTAGAAATTCATTTGAGGGAGACATCTTTAAGAAGCCTAGGCGTGAAGCAACTTCTGTTTTGAGCAATTTTGGAAACCTTGATGCTTCCACCACTATTTGTCAAAAAAAATCAGAAAGGGACACGAAGCTGTTAGATAAGAAAAAGAACATGATGGAGAAGGAATCATCATTCAATACTTCATGTGATGTGGAGATAGTAAAAGACACATCTGATGACACTCGAATGTCAGATAAATGCTTCAAAAATTGCTATGTCACATCAGCTGCAGGTGATGATAACTCATATAGTTACCCACTAACACACATTTCCCAACCAGAGGATCTTTATAACTGTGAGGATAAGGAATCAGGTGATCTTTTATATTATGGGTGGTCTGATATAGGAAACTTTGAGGATGTTGACAACATGTTAAGGTTTGTAAACCCTTGTTTTTCCTTTTTACACTTTTGTTGGAAATAAAGCAAAAAACTTACATTACATATTCTATATCTTTCATATGCAGAAACTGTGATTCATCATTTGGACTAAACAACAATGAAGAACTTGGGTGGTTTGCATCAGACCAAATTGGGAGTGATACTGAAGAAGCATTAAAGATGGATTTCAAATTTCCATGTCCTGAACCAAGTGCTTTAAACAATGCATCTAACAAGAGTCATGTAATGGAGAGTTGTGGTGATATTTCATTTGAAGGGAATGCTACTGGAGTTGATGAACAAAAACAAGGATTTCAACCATTATTTGTTGGAAGCCCGATACAGATGAATACCATGTTTCAATCTTCAAACAGTGTTTTGGGTTGTGCTGAAAAACAAGCTCATTTATCAAAAAAGGAACTTGGAAGTGAAAATGGTGTAGGAGTTCATCAGAAAGGGATTTCATTAGAGATGGGTTCATTAAATGTTCCTGAAATCTCTTCCATTAGTTCTGAGCTGGATGAAATCTCACTTGAAGCAACTAGTTTTCACCAGCTACAACAAGTTATGGAACAGGTATATCGTTATTTTGCTTTTTCTTCCTGAAAAATTTCACTTTTTCATCTATATATAATCAATAACTAGCATTGTAGTGTTGTTGATCTTGTAAAGTTATTTATTGGTTTTTCAGTTGGATTTGAGGACAAAGTTATGCATAAGGGATAGTCTATACCGTTTGGCCAGAAGTGCTGAGCAACGACATAATAATCCAAGCCTAAGTAGCAGTGCCACAGATATTAATGATAGTAATAAGTAAGATTTTTTTTTTCTTTCTCTTTATGTTTTAATTTTATTATTCTCTAAATAAAATTTAAAAATGGGGTTATCTACTTTATTTATGGCAGTGGATTGATGGATATGGAAACCGATACAAATCCTATCGATCGATCTGTAGCACATTTATTGTTTCATAGGCCTTCAGAATCACCTAATCTGGTAAGTTTTTTTTCTGGTTGACATTATTTATGTTTGTAATAAAAAAAGATTTCTGAAACTTTTTTGATGTCCATGTTGAACAGAAGCATGGGTCGATGAATGGGGAGAAAGCTGTTTGTGAGGAAGGTGAAGCAAACGACAAGTGAAATTAGGAGAGAGTTGTGTATGTAGTTGTTGTGGAATACATAATGATAATGTATAAAGTGATCCAAAAGGTGGCCCATCGTCATGTATTAAGTTAAACGACTCGGGCTTTTACTGTTTCTTGGTGTATATTCTTGAGTCTTCATAGTAATTTTATGTCTTGATTTTTAACCCACAACTCTTGATAGTAAAAACAAACATGGCTTCTTTGTGATGACTTGAAAAATAACATGTCATTGAGTACAAAATAGTACATGCAACAAACTCCTTATATAAAAAGGTTAAACAAGTTATAATCTGATAAAAAATACATGGTTCCTTTATAGAGAAATGTGTTGTTAATCAATCAAATTGCTGTCGAAGGTGCATCTCCGTTTCACTTTTCCATGTGGCATGTGATGATTGGCCTTTCATACGCTTATTCTTTTCCTTATCTTTAATCATAGACCCTTTCTTCTTGGATGCTTCATCCGTGTTTGTGTCTGCAACAGGACGATCACCACACACAGGGCATACCATCCCCCGTGCATTAGAAAATGTCTTGGGTATCCCACACTTCACACACATCCTATGTCCGAAACACAATGACCGTATTTTAGTAAAATATATAAAGTATGTTTGCTATTTTGGGTTAAAAAAACAGTACCTTAAAAGGTCGGCAGCATCTTCTGCAGTTGGATTAGTGGCAGTTGCCACACGTTTTGCTGATCCTCCAGTTGAAGAAACCTTGGATTGAGTATTGTTTCCAGCATCACTGCTTACTCTCTCCCGGATTCCAACTAATTGAGCTTTAGCCTGCATTACAGCACCTATAAAAAAAAACATTAATTCAATTATCTCTATATAATACATGTATGATTTTGATAAAATATGATATAGTGACCACAAATTTCATTTTCAAAGTGACCAGGTTCTTAGGATATTATCAGAAAACAGAAACAACCTTCAGGCATATCATTTTTGTCTCTGCGGTTTCTCCGGCGACCATGCCGCCACAGCTGCACATCGGTATCTTTTTCTGCTGAGTCGCCAACTGTGTTGTTCAAAAACTGTGGAGGTCCTGAAATCTCCAATAATTACAGGAAAAACACTTATAATAAGCTGTTAGGTAACATAGATCTAGTAAAACAATACAATTATGGAAGCGCTGAATTTAACTAATTCATATCAAACATACTATTAAGCACAGACGAAGAAATTAATAAAGATTTGTTGCTAATCTACCACCAACAATTTCAAAGCCACACAGGTTAATTACAGGAGCCATGCCAATAGTCAACATTCAGATTTAAGATACTGGACATGTTCGTTTTCAAGTCCAAGCCATCACTCATGCCTTTGTTTGCTACGCCTATCGTTTTTCCAAATTAGTCTCGCAGATACATATAATTGAGAAGAATATGTGAGTGATTCATACACAGCATCTCTTTCCTTTATCGAGGGTTCTCCGGACTTCATGACAAGGATATAGAACATAAATACATAACCACATACATATTTTGACATCAATCCAACTGTTTGGCCTTAATTCCACCAACATTCATCAATTTGTACGCTTGCTAACCAAATTAACTTTCAAATTAAGTTAATTAATCTTCCAAAATGAAAATATTCCTATATACAGTAATGTGAGAGAGATACATGATTCAATAAATAAACGACTAATAGAGAGAGAGAGAGAGAGTTTGTGGGATTACTTCAGAAAAAGCAACCAATGCCGAAGGAAGAGAAGAAGAGGCTGAGGGATTCGGTGGATCGAACAAGGGCTTTTTTAAATTGTTGCTGGTTGTACGGTCACCAGAAATATCCTGGTTCCGGCGTTCATCTTCTTCGTCGTCGTCGGAGGAATTGAGATATCTTTGTTCATCTTCTTCCTCCTCGGGGGATGAATAGCCCTGTAAAAGTGACAAGCTCATAGCTGCGTTTGTGTGTGTGAGAGAGAGAGAACGAGGGTTTGACACTCGACAGCTCGCCGTTCCGGGAGGTTGCCGTCATAAATGGGCCTCCTTTATGGGCCTTCACAAAAGACAAATTAAAATAATGGAAATGGGATAATTCGTATTTGGAAAAAAAACACAATTAAAAGATAAATATTTTGATATATTATTATATATATATTAAAATTGTAATGTAAAGGAACAGTAAACCTAGCATAATTTTTGTCTCTTTTGGTCCCTTAAGTTACATTCCAGGTCCCTGAACTTTTTATGTTTGTGAATTTTATCACTTTTAATCATCTGATAAAAGTGTCGTCAATATCTACTGTTCCTCGGGTATCACTTTTAAGTTAGGAACAGTACCTGATCAGGGTACTGTTCCTCGGGTTACCATAGGGGTTAGGGCTTTTTGTTCCCGATCATTCCGCTCGCTTTATCTTCCTCAGCACAAAACCTCCGATCTTCTCCTATCTTCTTCTTCACCGATCCTGACTACTTCATCGACCTCTATTACAGCCTATTCTCCTCTTCTCGCCTAACCATCTTCCCTCCGCTTTTCTCTGTTTTGTGTCACCGCCAGACCATACCAGCGCATGTTTCTATACACGTGTTGGTCGGTGTGTTACAGACGTTGCTGCACGGTAGACCATGTTACCGCCTCCACTCCCTGTCACACCGCCTCGCTCTTTCTCCGATTAAATTTTATCCACCACTTCTGGTGCCTTCTACTGCTTTCATCCCGTCGATTGCTTCTCTCTCTTCTTACGACTTCGTTGCAGCTCCTCAGTCCCACCGGTCCTCCCTCTACTCAACTATCACTATCGATTCCTACTTAAACTTCGGTCGTCGTTGTTGATTTCCGATTTTCGAAGCTCCAATCCCGTAAATTCTTTTTGCGTTTTTTCCCATTTTTTGCTCTATATTGTTAAAGAGAACTGTAAATTGGCTCCAACGATACTCATTTCCATATCCGAATTTTGAAGCTCTGGCAACTACCGGTACATGCCTTTCGAAGCATACCCAAAATTTCAAGTGGCTTATGCACATCACGCGCCAATCGGTATGTTTCTTTCCTTAATTTTCATTTGATTAACCAAAAAACCCACTTGAATCAACTATTGTTGTACGATGCCAATAAACTCCAGTGTAATTAGGGTTTTGATGCGTTTATTGCATAGAGTGCTTGAATTTGATGTATAATTTGTTGTTGTACCATGTATTCTGAACAACTTTATAACAAATTTCTTCACAGAGCCAAAATTTGGTGGATATGGGTCATTTTTACCCTCACAAAAGCAGATTCCGATTCTCCATTTTCATGTCAACACATCTCAAACAGTTCAAAATTTCAACAAATCGTGTTTGCATGTATATAGGATTCTATCTGATCATTATATTAGCAGGTTGGATATGAATTTTTGAAGAAAATATGTTCAGCCACATCATCTGGTAGCTTTTTGATCAGCGATGCTTTCTCCATTAGCTTATTTATTTTCATTTTTTATCTAATTGTATAACTGTTTCAGCTGAATTTTTTGTTCACACTTTTGTTTTGTTACTTGTCTGTAAGGAGTTAGGACTTAAGGGGGCTTTATGTTATCTGATTAATCTTTCTTTTAACTATGTTTTCAGGGGTTTTGATGCTAGAAGGGAATGTAATGTCCGAGAATATAGTGACCACACGGTGGAACGAAATCTGGAATTCCAAATTCTGCTTTCAAACACACCCTAAGATTCTTAACTGATACTTTTTTTTCCTTACTCTTTTTGCAATTAATCATGACTGTTGTAGGTGACATTCTTCAACATAGGGATCAATACATTGGATGCATTTTCACACGTGGGAGGTAATTATGCAGTAGGAAATCCAGCTTAATGAACTCCAACATCAGGTATATTATTCTTTGAAATTTCAGCCAATTTCGAGCTTATCTAATATAGTTTTTCGTTTATTAACCAAAAATGTGTTGAAGGGAAATATTCAAAGAGTTAAATCTTTTATATTAAACTTATGGATGTATGATGATCACCAAGAGTAAATCCTCCAACAAGAAATCTCTGAATCAATGCAAGTTGTTATCTTTTGGAAAAATATGAAAGAATTTTTTTAATGGTTTTTTTTAATGTTGAATTAGGTTATAGTTACTAGTCAATGTGGGAAAAGTAGTGAGAAAAGAGAGAGTTCTGGTATGGTCTCCCTTATGTGCCCATAAGTAAAGGTAATTTCAGCTCTTTAAAAATTTTCTTAATACATTATTTATGCTTTGTTAACATACAAATGGTATTATCAATTATGTCTATTTGTTTCTTTTTTAATTCTGGTATGAAACTATTGGGGTAAAAAGTTGTTGTGACATTGTTCTATAGTAACATTACATGAATTTATAAATATGTTCAAAAGAATTCGGTCAATTGACAACTGCTGCAGCTCAGATTGAAATCTATTTTTTTCTTTGGCTCAAGTCAAATTTTCAGTCCTCATTCCTATCAAGCATGTGATGTTCATCATATGGATGTATGAAATTGCAAACATATCATTTTTTTTAAGCTTAATATTAGCAACTAAGTGAATGAGTTTACCTTTTTTTTATCAACTTTGTCATTCTTAAGAAAAAAAATGTTTCATAATTTGTCATACTTAAGTTGAAAAAAAATACTGAAATGAAACGTTTAAAACATAAAGTTTGATTTTTTTAATTTGTTAGTCAAAATGACCATTTTGACCTTTTTATCCAATTTGGTAATTTTATCGGAGTTTTTTTTGTTTTTCCGTTATTTGACCCATTTAAACAGAAAATAATTTTTTTATTTTATTTTATTTTTGGTCAAAGAATTCATTTCACCATTTTTATCAATTTGCCCATTTTGTTCAATATACAGGGACCATATATGTTAATTTTGTTAAAAGGAGGGAAAATGACTCTCAATTGATGTTTGATTTGGTTATACACAAAGTCAAGCTGCCATTTTGTAGTCTAAATAAAATTGATCTACACTTTTTTTTTATTTTTTTAATATAAATTCATTAAATGGAATCTTTTAATTTTCTCAAGTTTTTTTTTCAAACTGATGCAACTCCTGCATATTGTTTTTATAATTAAAAAAATGATTTTAAGATTTTTTGACCAAACTGCCCCTGCATACTATTTTTATAGTTAAAAAATTTGACCGGTCGAATGTTTATTTATGTAATAGTGTTTCAATTTTTTCCCAATTTATGCAACAATGATTTGCATTTTTACCATTTATGCAACAATGTTGTGCTTTTTTGTTTACCAATTTATGCAACATTCACGGTTTTGGTCTTATAATTGTATTGTAGCCGATGTCGGCGAGTCCGCTTCTACCCACAGAAGACTCCGACGAGTTCTCTATATCTCTTCTTTCATGGATGTTTGCCGATTGCTTCCACTTCCCAATCTGAATTTTATGTTCTGTTCAGCTCTTCAAATGTTTTCGTTTTGATTGCCGTTTATCTTCTCTGTTTCCCTTCCAGGTGTTCATCGTCCCCCCCTCCATCTTCTCAGATAGCTTAATGGCTTTTAAACCCTAATTGGTTGTAGATCTGTATTTTACCTACCAATCATATCTGTCCAACTGTCCAACATTGAAAACGGTGCAAATGGTTTATTCATTTGTGTAATTTTTATTGAAATCTGGCCACATCTCAACGTGGTTGAGTGCATCGTTTTAATTTGTGTTGGATTTTGCTTACAGATTGCAAGAGGATGAATGGCAGGAAGGAGAAATATAGGGCTTCTTCCCGACAGAGTTTAAAAGGGTGCGACGATCACACCTGCACTTATAGAGCTTACTTTGCTTACTCTCCCCATGGTATCGATTCACTCTTCCTCTCTCTGTCTACATGTTTGTACGTCAAATATGCTGTTGATCCACACCATAGTTGACCAATTTCTCATCCATTTCGATTTGGAATGTAGGATTTGTTATAGCTTCTGATGACATGAGTTGCCATTGTGTACAGTAATTGAAGACTATTTGTCTTAACCTTAATTCCAGCCACTACCACATATTTTTAGGGTTTCTTAAAGGTAACCTTGCTCTTTCAATATATGAATTTCTGTTTAAATTCTTCAGACTTTTAATCAGTATATGAATTTTCTTTTTAATTATTTCGAGGATGACTTTCACTTTGCAGTACCTTAACAACTGCACTATTGAAGGTTTGCTAAACTAAAGTTTTTTTTGTTCATCTTCTTCTTAGGAACATGTCAGAAACAAACTTGATGCAGTTTATGAAGAGGCTGTAGGAAGAAGAGAGTTGCACTAATTTAGGTTTCCCTATTTATAAGGAGTTTCTAATAAGTTAAAAATTCTGATACCACACCGAATACTTTCATTTCTTACATTAGAACATTATACTCTTCAATCTATCCAGCTGTATTGTATTTGAATGACATTATAGCATCATACTTTCGTGACCCGCCAAACACTAATAAAAAAGATCCGACCCGTGCAATGCACATGCCTCATTTCTAGTTTACACTAAAGAGATTAATGATAGGATAAAAAAAGATGCAGACGTCATTTTACTAATACATATAATATATTCTCTTAATTACTTATATCAAGCTAGATTAATGATAGGATAAAAAAAGATGCAGACGTCATTTTACTAATACATATAATATATTCTCTTAATTACTTATATCAAGCTGAAACTAATCAAAAGAAGAATTCAAATTCCATCAGGGATTAGACGTTTTAGTGTATTCTTTTATTAAAGTAGAGGAAGGATTATTTTTAACATAAAAAATCATACTAAATTAGAATCCAGAGGCTACCTTACATGAGAACTTTTCCTGATTGAATTACTTTTTAGTTGTGGTGTTTAATTGATTATAATGAAATGAAACAAATTAGAGTCTATGGTGTACCTTTTTGGTAAAATAACATTGTAAACAATGTGATAACCCTCAAGGGCAATATAATAACTTGAGCATCTTGTTACCAAACTTAGTTTATTTAACAATTTTGTTCTGATTTGTCCTAAGTTTTACCAAACGTTACATAGATAATATGTTCGGCTTTGTCTGGTCCATCAAATGGAGGTAAATCACAGAACACCAATGATATTTTTGACCATGTCATTCATTTAATAATTCACATCTCTCAACCCTTAAGATCCTATCACAAGGTGGGGCAAGAAAGTGAGCTCGACACAGAAGACGTGAATACCCTTCTAATCTTCATCATAAAAATAGCCCCAAAAAGTTTGTCCATAAACATCCACATCCTATCTTGTATCCATTCCCCATATTGAACCATGTAACATCAACAACTTAATCCTTGGGTGAACTTCCCTTCTCTTTAGAGAATCGTGCTTTATGCTTATAGTACTCTTCAAGCTCATTCTCTAGTTTCTCGATGAACTCACTTGTATGCTCAAGAGACTGTTCATACTTGTATTTTTCCAATGCCTGCAATGGAATAGAAATAAGATGCAATAATAAACAAATCAATGAAAAATTGAAAATATATTGCTATTTCTCACATTTAACCCTGTAAAACATTTTGATGTACCTTTGCTTTCGAAAGGGTGTCTGGAGGTGACATAATCTCTGGTTGCACATAATTCTTTCCACGAAAGAATATAATAACATTATTGGGTTTTATGTCAATCACAATCCCTTTACTTAATCTAGTAAGCTCATCAGCATATTCTTGAATTTGTCCAGGTTTACAAGGCTTACAAACAACCTTAACAGTCTCGTGATTCTTCCAATGAAGATGCATATTAAGAACTACTCCCCCAAATACACCTCGTCTCCCAACTGGAACATAATGTTTCTTTTTCTCACCAGTTCTTTTCAAATAAAACTTCTCTTCCTCTGTTAAAATTTCAGGATCATATACTTCAGCTGCAGCTTTTCTTACATCAAATTTCCTTAATTTCTCAATCAACCATTCCTCCTTTCTTTTCGCCTTTCCAAGCCTGTATAAGATCCTGATTTCTGGATTTGGGGATCTCATCTTTTTCTTTGCTTTCAAGCGATAAAATCTTAGTTCATTGAGTTTGGCCTTTTTCGACATTTTAACGCGTTTTTGTTTTGTTTCTCTTTGGTTAAAACCATTAGAAGATCTTTCAAGCTGTTTACTGATACAAAACCTGACAACATCTTTATCCATTGTCATCTCTACTGCTGAATTGCTTGCTGATCGAACATGTGACTTTAATGGAAGAATACTATCAAGAACATATATTGATTTTTGGTTTATCTGTTTTGCCAATGGGAAGGATGTAAGAGAACGAGTAAGTAGATTGGCATTTGGATTTATATATCTTATGTCCAGGCAATGGTTTTTGTTTATTGGATCCCTGCATTTAACAACAATACTATCAACAAAGTGTTTAATATCGCAAATCTTTATAAATGTATAATAATGGCTAACGATTCAAGATGTTTGACTAACATATACGATCATCAGGGCAACTAGAGATACAATTTAATAACTGCAATCTAATAAGTCGGTTTTCATATCTGAAATTCACATGATTTTATTCTCCATTCAAGGTTTACCCACAGTGTTTAGCTCTTATAGAATTTGCAATGGCGCCTTTTTGCTCTTAATCTTACAGTATGGCTCTAAACAGTAGTAAAACCCTAGAAACGGAAATGCATGAATAAGATAGCTAAATTGACGAAATCATACCAGATATGGTGGAGAACGGATGTGCTATGTATGAAATTGGAAATATGGCGGCGAAAGAGTTTGATTGACATAGAGTCAAGAGTAAGGTTCAGAAGGTGGCGCTGCGATGGAAATCGGTGGGTTGAATATGTGGTTTTGCTTTATCAGGTCGGTCATAGGCGTAGTAGGGCGTCAGCAGGAATGGATGGGGGGGAGCCGGCAAGTCGAAGAGGGTGAGAGACAGAGAGGTCGGAGGAAACATGTTTTGCATTCTTCGTTTGGTGTAGGAATGGGTTCGGGGGCGGGCAATGGTTTCCCAAATCCGCCCCGATATCTTTCGGGAATCTTATCGGGGCGTCCCATTGGGTTTCGGTTTTTCTGTTGGATTTTGGGTATGTTATCGGTTTTACAACAATTCATAACGAAATCTTTATTCCGTTTTAGTATACCCCAATATCTTATAAAAAATACATGTTCTAGCATCTCTTTTAAATTAAAAATATGATGCATCACTTTAATAAAATAAACTGGACGTTATATTAAAAATCAGTATTTGATTTAAGTTTAGTGTAATATGTTAAAACATAACAAAATGATCATTCACACAAGATTGTTCATAACTAAAAAAGATTGTCCACAATAAATATTTTATCTTTAAACGCGTGCAATTAACATCAAAATGTTTCGAACATATATATATATATATATATATATATATATATATATATATATATATATATATATATATATATATATATATATATATATATATATATATATATATATATATATATAATCGGGGCGGGGCGGGGCGTTACCCGACCCGAAATGATCGGGTTTCAAGTTTCCCGATAAAAAACCCGATAACGACTCGTTACCCGACCCCGATAAAAAACCCGATAACGACTCGTTACCCGACCCGAAATGATCGGGTTTCAGGTTTCCCCGACGGGGTTCGGGCTTTTTTGCCATCCCTAGTTTGGTGACGACTGAGAAGGCTCCTTTTCGTTGGGTTGGGTTGGGTTCGAGCCTGGGTTTGGTTTCGGACGTAGATTGTCGATAAAAACTGGTTTAAATTTGAAGAAAGTGCAAATCTTGGAGCTTATTTCCTAATCCAGAATCTCCTAACCCATATGTCACCTTACTACCAACATCCGTTTTTAGTTATTCTTTTACTTTCACCTCGTTACATTTCATGCAAATTCATTAATCCCAAGGCTCCGGGGAGTGTAGTGTGCCAAGCTCCTCGCCTAAAGACACTAATGCCTAGTTCCTGAGTTTAAGAAAAGAAAAAAAAAGCCAGGAGAGAAAAAAAATCTTTTGTGTTTTTGAGTTGGAAAGAAGTGGAAGGAAAATTAATCGTTTTGTTCTTTCTTTTCAATCTGGAAGGAAAGTTAGGAGAAGAAAGCGATCCTTCCATTTCTCTCCGTTTCATTCCTTTAATGAAACTCGGGAACACCAATTTTTTTATTTCTTCTCATTTCCACTCATTTCATTTCTTTTCTCTCGTTAAGTTGAACTCGGGAACGGGGTGTAAGCTCGCCAATCACCACCCCTGGCACGTGTGAAGGGAGGCGCTAAGCAAGCTTTGTTAGCCGGACAACGAGAAGAGAGAGAAGAGAGAAATGAAATGGTGGGTTGTGATTGGTTGGCACTACTTTGTTTATTCTTCAAACATCAAATATATTTAAATGAGTTCACCACCACATCCTACATATGCAAATCAGTGGTCTGACATTGGTGCCTTTGACCCATAAGTGTGGTGAGAATATTCACCTGAACTACTCAACAGAAGCCCAACAGCTACCTCAACATCAGAACAGCCAACCCAAGTTTCCTAAAACCAAACCGAGATCAATCCTTAGTCAAATACTCAATTCTACCCAAGTTTGACCAAAAGTCAAACTGATCAAAAAGTCAACATCCAGCTTATACAAAGTCAACGTCACATCGTGACCATTCCTTGGTCACATCGTGAAATTGCAACGACAAAACAATCACACCAAAATGCATTATAATGTTTCCAACTTTATCCACTAGGATGGTCCAAACAACCAAGATCTAGTCTTTAAGTCTCAAAGGGACCAAAAATGCATCTTTCTCAACTAAATCCATTAAGTCCAAGTCTTCAACCTTTAAATCTGAATCAACATGATGTTTAGATGGATAAAGTTTCCAAGTTTATCCATAATAATGTCTCAAACTCTCAAGATCTAAACTTTAATACACCAAAATTGCATAAATGACCAAAATAACTTGCATGGCTGAAAGGGAAGACAAAAGATCAAAACGTTCCTAGCCCATGAGGTCCAAGAATACATTCTAAACTGATTAAAAAGTGTTGGAGTCCAGATTTGAAACATACAATGTTCTTAGGACCTAGGAGTAGGAGAGTAATAAAGTTGCAAACTTTTTTCCCAACTCTCACTCAAAACTCATTATAATGGACCAAAACACCAAAATACACTTAGATCCAAGATGAAATGCAATAAAGCTTGGGACTTTATAACTTATAAAGGTCTAGAAGGTAAATAAAAGTTGAGATCTTCAATTACCAAGCGTCAAGGATCAATCTTGCATAAAAACATTGCTCAAAAACCACCAAAAACGGATGAAAGAGGAGAGGGGAGGCTCAAATCTTGAAAATGGAGGCTAGGGTTTTCCTAAGGGGTTCTATATATGAAGGAGGCTAAGAAAATACCCTAAAACATGAATCCTTACCTTTAAGTACCTTGGAAACCCTAAAGATGTGTGGGCTTGGGTTGCAGAGTTCTCACGTCGTAGGAATTACTTCTCACCTCGTGAGAACAGGCTCCTCACGTCGTGAGAATTACTTCCCACCTCATGAGAGCGAGTTTTCACCAAATTCCATTCCAACTTCAAACAATCAAAACTTCTTCGTTTCAACTCCATTTTAGGTGTTCTTTATATGCATGGAAATGTATTGAGGAGCCCCATAACTCTATCTAATTACATTTGACTTAAAACACACTGAACTAAAATCCTTAATTCATGAAAAAGTTTGAAACATCACTTTTCCCATTTTACCCTTTCACTCCAAGACACAAACCAAAGGCTTAGATTACATAACCAATATTATCAACATATAATATGGTCTAAACCCTATTCCCTTGAAGCCTGAGGCCTTTACTTGATCCATTTATTGTCCTACAATGTACACCGATACCAAACCGACATATGGCGTCAGTTTTTGAAAACCGATTGGTGTCAATTTTCATTTTTTTTCGTCATAAAAGGTTATAAACTAATTCACATGATTGTTTACATGACAAATTACCGAACACGAGTCACCATTGCAAATCAGACTTCACACATTAACGTCATATTTACATAAAAAACGACAAGTAGTGAGATGGCCGAAAACGGTGGCCAAATGTCCTCTTTTATAACAAATTTTGTTATTTTATATGTACATTTACTTTGTTTCGGTTATAAAGTGAGACATAAAGTGTTGAAGTTTTGTAACACTCGGAATTCAGTATGTTACCTTTTAGCCCTTGGATTAAATTTTATTTTGCATGAGAGGCCCCTCCGTACGTTGGGCGTACATATGTGTATGCTTAGCGTACATGGGAGTTATGGACGCAGACTTCAACCACGTATGCTGGGCGTACTAAGGTGTACACGGGGCGTACATGGCCAGAGACAAAAACCCTAATCTTAGGGCATGAGCCCTATTTAAGCTCACTTATGACATTTGGACCTCACCTTATCAGCCTTCACTACTTGTTTTCGTCCCTTAAACCCTAGTTTGCTAGTGAGTGTGATACTTGAGCTTTAAAGTGTATTTAGTGGCCATTTTAGTGAGTTTTCAAGAAGAAGAGCTTGGTGTGCAAGGCTTGGACGTGGTTGAGCTTCTAGATCCTGCATCTACATCATCTTACAGAGCTTTTGGAGGTAAAAAGTTCAGACCTTGTTAATCCTTGTTCTAGTTTGAGTTAAGGTTTGGTAGTGAGTTCATTTTGGTCCATGGATCCTCTTTTGTGAGTTTGAGCACCTCCAGAGGTTAGAGATGATTAGATCTAAGTCCTTTTGTCATGTTAAAAGCATAAAATGCTATCTTGATGGTTGTTATGGCACCATGCATGGGTTTGAGTTCTTAAAGTGAGTCTTAATGGACAAAATGGGATGTTGGGCTCCCATGAAGCATGCAAAGGCATAAAGTTGCCAACTTTATGCCCTAGGACCTTTAAAATGACCAAGATCTGGAATTTGACGAAGTGGCTGCATGGATTAAGCTCTTAATGGTTGGTTATGCATAACAGCCTTGTACGTTGGGCGTATTGGGATGTACGTTGCGCGACTGCCTTAAGACCGTTTACGCTAAGCGTACTGATGGTGTACGCTGCGCGTACGTTCTTTGGGATGGTGGGGCGAGTTTTGGGCTTTTGGGGACTCTTGGGCCTTATCTAGTGTTAGGTCATGGCCTATTTAGGATAGGTAGGCTCAGTTTTCCTTCGTGGGCCTTGTGTGTCATGGATTGGGCCTTAGGTGTCATTGTTGGGCCGTTTGGGCCTTATGACCCGTTATTGATTTTGGACCAAGGGTAGTTGGGCCCATTAAAGGAGAAAGGCCTTTGGACCTTATTTGAAGAGTTTGAACTTAGGGATTTTGGGCCCATAAGTGGGTTTGTATCGTAATTCTAATTAGGGTAAATTGTATATTTACAGTGTGAGATTTTCGGACCGGTAGCCGAGCAGTTATTATTTATCAACAGTCTGAGGTGAGTCTTTTCACTATATCAATGGGTCAAAGGCACCAATGCCCGCCCATTACTTGACATGTGGAATGACAGTTGTTTATGTATTTACTTGTATGAAGACCATGGGGGTAGCCTATGGCACAGAAGACCATGGGGGTAGCCCATGACACTTGGATATCAGACCATGGGGGTAACCAATGGCATTCCAGGTAAAGACAATGGGGGTAGTCCATGACACTTGGATATCAGACCATAGGGGTAGCCCATGGCATTCCACGTAAAGACCATGGGGGTAGCCCATGGCAACTATATGTATGTCACATGGTATTTTGTGGTTGTATGTTATGTGATATTTTGGGATCTCACTAAGCTTTTACTTACAGATTATTTGGGTGTTTTCAGGTACTTCCGTTACTAAGAGGAAGAGTCCGGCTTGATGGCGTAACATACACTCTCCAGCATTTAACCGTAATTATTGATATTGATACTCTGATATTTGGACATGATATGATGTAATGAATTTTTTGTAACAACCCAATTTTTCCAAAGAAAATT